GAGGACACAGCCCTGTTTCACTCCGCTTTGGATGTCAAAGGGATCTGATGTTGATCAAAAACTACAGTGCCCTTCATTTCTTCCTGAAAGGACCTGATGTTGTTAAGGAGTCAAGGTGGACATCCAATCCTGGGAAGTATTTTAAAAAGGCCATCCCTGCTAAGCAAATCAAAACCCTTTATAAGATCTATGAAGGCCACATAGAGTGGCTGTTGTTGTTCCCTACATTTCTCCTGCAACTGTCTGAGGGAGAATACCATGTCAGTGGTGGATCTATTAGCTCGAAATCCACACTGTGGTTATGAATAGACTCTGTCTGTAAGCACCTCCAGTCTCTTCAGCACAACACGAGCAAGCAGCTTCCCCACAACACTGAGAAGATAGATGCCATGGTAGTTATTGCAGTCACCCCTGTCGCCTTTGTTCTTATACAATGTGACAATGTTTGCATCCCTCATGTCCTGTGATACTCCAACTTCCCTCCAGCAAAGACAAAAGATTTCATACAGCTCAGTGGTGATGATCTCTTTACAGCACTTCAGCACAGATGTTATCCTTCCCAGGTGCCTTGCCGGACGTGAAGAAATCCAAGGCCACTTTTATTTCTGCTAAAGTTGGTTCGCTGTTTAACTCTTCCAAGACAGGTGGGCACTCAATGTTATTTAATGCCTCATTGGTTACTACATTCTTGATGGAATATAGCTCGTTGTGCTGCACGCAACGTTCCATCTGCTGTGTTCTGCCCTGGATGATCACGCCTGTAGGAGTCTTCAAAGGAGCAGATTTCTTCTGTATTGGACCTAAAGCCCGCTTGATACCATCATACATTCCCCTGATGTTACCTGTGTCCGCTGCTATCTGTATCTGAGAGTAGAGCTGAAGCCAATAATTGTTAGAACATCTTCTGGCAGCCTCTTGGACTTTGCTATGAGCAATTCGAAGAGCCTGCAAGTTGTACTCACTAGGGCAGGCTTTGCACCAAGGATCCTCTACATCAAGGATAAGGAATATACAGCCCTCCAAGTTGTTCTTAGATTGCAGTTCCCATCACCAACACTGGATGTGCTGGCTAGGGTTGGTAGGAACTGGAAGGTCATCCTACGCCCCCTTCCTGATTCTACGAGAGATGGAGTTTTCAGAACTCCCTGTGAATGAAAATGTGCTTTAATAACAGACAGTGAAGTATAGCTCTTTCAATGAATTATTTTCAGCAGGTTCTAGAGAAGTGGTCTATTTGAAAACTCAAAAAAGTAGGTAGTCATTAAAAACATCATGGGAAAGTTGATAATTTTTTTAAAATGTGCCTTGTTTCTCATAGTGAGAACGCAATGCAACAGTAATCACAGAAATATTGCATTGTACTGAAATATTATATTGTACTCTATTATAGTTTTCTAGCTGTGATCTGTAAAGGTTCACAAGAAGCTGATCCCACTCTTCTTCTTAGAAGCCTCCTCCTGAGCAAACCAAAAATTACTTAGGTATTTAATGCTCATATGGCTTGCATTTACAGTCATGCTTTCATCCAGCAAATTTTAGCCAGAGTTTAGGAAGACTGAAATGAGGAATCATGAAACAAATAGCTAAGCAAAAGTGATTATACTAGGTTGTTTCAAATGCTATGTTTTATTTTTGAGGAATGTTATTCACTTGTTATTATATCATTGTTTATGTTCTGTACCATCACGCTGGAACTGACTTACAGTGACCCTAATAGGACTTCTAAGATAAGTGAAATATTTAAGGAGTGGTTTTGGCAGTTCCACGTCCCCAGCGAGTTTCCACAGCCAAGTAGGGATTTGAACCCTGTTTTCCAGAGTCCTAGTCTGTCACTCTATCCACTACACCACACTAGGAGTCCAGTTATATTGCTAGATGGTGCTTAAGCCCTTTTTATATCACTTGTGATATAAAAATCACTTGTATTTTACATTACTTATTTTTAGGGAAGGGTGATTATAACAAAATACCACTTTTGTTATTAAACGATAGTGACTGAATGTGAACCAGTTTTAAAGCTCTAGAATAAATGCCTCAAACATATATGATGAAGAGAACTGGAAAAAAGGACTTTACCACCATCTGGTGTCTTAATTCCAGAGCAAAAACAGCAATGAAAAGTTGTGGATTAAAATCTGTTGCGTTTGAACGAAGGCAGAGAAGAAAATATGTCTGTTTTTATCATAGGAAGCAAGGGGTGGGCAGAACTCAGGCATAAAGGGTTTTTTTAAACTTTGCCTTTTTAAAAACAAGGACGCTGAAATCTATCAGAAGAACTTGGTACAAAAGACACGTAGGGAGAAGTAGAAAATTCTGAATCTAAGAACTGAAATACTGGAAGGGAATGGGGTGTGCTTATTCAATATGCTTGGACCCACTCACTTTTGCTTTCTTCATGCAAGCAACGAGTCTGAAGAGAAAGAAGCTGTTCCTGCTCATGTGTGGGCTTTGATATTCCTGGTTCCCCTAAGCATTCTTCATTTTAGCAGGATAACAGGGGAGGGGGGATTGCAATGTTGTTGCTGCTGCTTTTAAGAACCTAGAAGTCAGAAATTCTTTCTGTCTTCTGCCCATCTCTCCCAAAACATAGGTAAGGTTTCTCCACAGAAATCAAACACCCACCCGCCGAATTATAACAACTGTAGGCATTTGCTACACTGACATAAAAGGTGCTGTAAGCTTCAAAAGGTTAACTTCTGTTTTTAATTAAGTAAGTAAGCAAATCATTAACATCTGAAGTTGAGTCTGAAATAAAAGTTAGAATGCTAGTACCGCTCATGCCCATGTATTTTCAAAAGAAAAAGTAGGTGCTGTTACTTATTTTGACCTGTAGGTGGCAGCAACGTGCTGTAGAAATGGCTTCTGTCTAATCATCTTCACACAGGCTGAACAGTTCCACTTAATTTAAGGCCATCAAGTTCAGTCAACACAAGGCACTTCAAGGACAGCCACAAACCTGTGATTGCCCTAATAGGATTGGAGTTTTAAATATGTATTTATGTATTTATTTATTACATTTTTTACACAGCCCCCATACGCAGCTCAGGTTCCAACAGCAACGGAAAGCTGGAGAGCAACTTTTTGCCTCACCCCACTTTTACTTGGGGGTTTTGATCCCTCAGGGGAAAAAATAGCTAAATTGTGTTATTGGCAGCTGTCTGTCAATGCGAGGGTCTTGCAACTGAACCCATAGGGGTTTCCTATGCCTCCCTGCAGCACACTCTCAGGGATATGGCTGCATTCTTGGCCAAATTATAAACTTTATTTGTTTAGTCAAACAATTAATAAGTCGTTGGGCGTGAAACATAGCCACTCCTTGTTTCTTGGCAATTTCTGTGTCTGTGGGTCAAGGAGGAACAGCAAACCAAACAGATCCCAAAGGGAAAAACAAAACAAAACGGGCACTCACCTGTGAACAAGTGTGTTTTTCAATCCACGAATGAGGTGCCGTGCAATTGTTTTGACCCTTGGTGTGAGGATAGCTTGAGAAACGTGGAAAGTTCCATATTTTGCTCGTTCCCCAAGGGTGGTCTCTAAGAATTGCAACAGTTTGTGTACATTGGTTGTGTTTGCCCATGGTGCTGGCATTTTAGTCCCTGGCCATAGATAAGGGTATTCTTCGTAAAGTGGATGATGATAGAAAATAAGGACCTGAAGAATGTAGAAGGGAATAGAAATTGTCATAAATATCTTCTTAAACCAAGTTTGAATATCATTTACAGAGGAATCTCGACTTACGAACGACCCGACTTGCGAACAATTCGAGTTACGAACCTGCCCTATAGGAAAGTAAGGACTCCACATGCGAACTTCCCTTGAGTTACGAACAGGGGAAAAAGTCCCCCCTCCCTCCCCTTAGAGGCTTCTGGAGGGGGGGAAAGGGTCAGAAACTTTAAAATAAATACTGTACTGTTAAATAAAGTCACTTACCAGGCCTTGGTAGCCCCCAAACCACAGGAAAAAGAGCAGGAAAGAGCTAAAAGCCGACACCCAGAAAGAGCCTGGCAGCCATTTTGTGGTTTTCCCCGCTCCTCTCCCCGCCTAACAGCTGATCGGCTGGCTCTGAGCAGGCTTCCGGAGGCTTGCTCAGCACCTAAAAAGCCTGCCTGAGTGCCTTTGTGCTGAAAAAATCAGCACAACATGCTTTAAAACATTATTTAAAATTGGCTTCGTTTTTTTAAAAAGAGTTCTAAAGTGCTGCCTTTAGTGTTCCCTGCCTTCCCTGAACCTAAGGGGGAAAAAGAAAGAAAATATCCCCCTCTAGTGGCAGAAGGCAGAATAGCAGCTTCCCATTAGTTTCTATGGACAGAAAAGAGCAGATACGGATTAAATGGTTTTCAATGCATTCCTATGGGAAATGCAGATTCGACTTAAGAACTTTTCGACTTGAGAACCACCTTCCAATACGGATTAAGTTCTTAAGTTGAGACCCCACTGTATATTCATACTGTCCCCACTAAAATCTCTATGACAGGAAAGTCTAGCTGTTTTAGTGTCACTAGCTCCACAAACAGAACAACAGCAGAGCTTAAGAATATGGTACAGGAAGTTTGTAGACAAAGTCTTATTTCCATGGGAATAGCTACAATCTGCTGTCCTCCAGATGTTCTGAATAGTACCCCTCAGCCTCGGACACATGGCCAGTGTTTGACACAGCAGGAAATTAATGTCCAAACTGTATCGGGATGGCACTAAAAAGAAAGGTTACTTACCTGTAACCATGGTTCTTCGAGTGGACCTCTGTAAATTCACACTACCCACCCATCCTCCCCTCTGTCGTCACGGGTATCTTATTATTGTATAACTCTCATGCCCGGCGGACAAATTGCAGGAACTGAGGGGAATCTTGGGTGGGAGGAGCTTGTGCCTCATGGGGGATCACACCATAAAATTGTTACTTTTAGCTCTAGAATGCTCCGAGAATGTCAGCGCAGGCGCAGACTAAACCCATATGTGTGTATTCACAGAGGCCACGAAGGAGAAACTGCAGAAATTCTTTGAAGGACTTTATATAATGAACGAAATGCTGTTTCTCACAGCTGAAGTATTGGAAATTCACATATTTTAATAGCAATACTTGATGAGTAAAGGTCCCTGAAACAAAATATTGACACATGTTATGTTTATACTCCCAGTTTCAGCTTGAACATTTCTCTTTACACTGAGAAATTCATTGGCTTTTCAAGTTTAGTCTCCTTTAAACTGGGTTTTTAAAAGGTGAATATTGAGATGGGAGGTATACATAGACTTAATTTCATTACAATGTTTGATTTCTCCATTGCTATTTTTGAGAAGGAACTCTTTCATCCTTGGGTTTTTAAATGGCTCATCCATAGAACTCTATAGTGAACTATCCACCAAATAATGTTTTTCTGTACCCTTCCTAGAGCTATGACTGTTTTCTTCCCTTCTTCCTTTCCAAACACCCAATTCCGTTCCCTGTAATCACTGGTTGTCAATATCACATTATTTAGCTCCATCCAGACATTACAGCCTGAACATGGCTAGGGGAAAGTGTTGTAGGAACATGGGAAATTATATCCCAACACTTCCACCTTTAGGTCAACCAGACTTTTGTGCGTTCAGTTCAAAGTTCTGAAAAACTGCTTATAAACATGTTCAGCTGAGTGCACTAATTGTAATAATCATCATCAACATCTTAGAACTGAAGAGCTGGAAGAGACTTTATGGATCAAGTCCAGCTCCTGTCAAGGAGGCACAGTGGGGAATTGAACTCCTAGCCTCTGGCTCTGCAGCCAGATACCTAAACCACTCAGCTATCCAGCAGTCCTTCTGTATTAACACTTCTTTAGCCAGATAAGGCATGGCTTCTGATCACAGGTGTGCTTTAGGCATATTCATCTGAATGTGGTTACATGTTCATCTTCAGATCTTTGCACTGAATGCTTGAAGGTGTGGTTGACATCCATGTAGGAGAAAAACTGGAAGAAGTAGTTACGCATGCTCCCCTCCTCCTCATAGTTACAGCCCTACCCACTTACAGGGTGCAATGCCAGAATAGGGATTAGGTCTATTAGCATTCCAAGCCACTCAACCCTCATGGAATTCTTGCAGAGTCTTCTTAGGGTTTTGGCTCTTTTTCTTCTTAAAGATTTATATTCCTCTATTTCTGGCTACAACAGCAAAAACAAGAGAAGTCTGGAACTGTTATTAGTAAGAATTGTGATAAAGGTAAAGGTAAAGGTTCCCCTTGACCATTTTTGTCCAGTCGTGTTCGACTCTAGGGGGCGGTGCTCATCCCCGTTTCCAAGCCATAGAGCCAGCGTTTTGTCCGAAGACAATCTTCTGTGGTCACATGGCCAGTGCGACTTAGGCACGGAACGCTGTTACCTTCCCACTGAGGTGGTCCCTATTGATCTACTTGCATTTGCATGCTTTCGAACCGCTAGGTTGGCGGGGAGTTGGGACAAGCGACGGGCGCTCACTCCGTCGCGTGGATTCAATCTTACGACTGCTTGGTTTCTGATCCTGCAGCACAGGCTTCTGCAGTTTAGCCCGCAGCGCCACCACATCCCTGATAAAGAATTGTGATATTCATAGACAAAATGATACTCAGCATTTCTAGGGCAGTATGTCCCTTGAAGCAAGACAGAAAATAAGCTGCTACCATGGTGTACCAGCTATAATGATTCAAATAGCAGGAAATAATGCAGCACAGTACTGATAACTTGGGATGTTTGTCCTGGGACATAAACCACGTGACCACGATTCAGTACATGAGAGAAATGGAAAGTACTGGAAGAACTAGAAAACCTTCCCCTTGTGTGATCAGGGCCTAAGTCCCATTCATTTTCTGAGGGGTCATTAAGATGCAGCATTTGTTCCAGGTCCTAGTCTAACCCTAATCTCAATTTTCCTCAACAACCAATGTTCTCCTTATAACACTTTGCACCAGTTTGTCCACCTTTTCCTTCCTCTCCACACTTTCGTCTTTTTTTCTGCGCTGCTTTGTATCAGGAGAAGGAGGCTAGCTCTGTAGCATTTTCCAAATGCTTCCCGGTCATTTTAGCAGGCAAATACAAGTTCAGAGCTGAAGTTCCTGCTCCCTCCCTGAAAGCAAGCTGTGGCATCTCTGAAGAAGAGGACCTGATATCCCTTTCTTTGGGTAGGCATTACCCACAATTTCTTCTCTTGAGTTTCAAAGGTTCTGATTCAGCAGTGCCCAGCATATGCACAACCAAATATACATCCTCCTCACAGCTGTTTCCTCACTGGTACTGACCTACTCCCAGCTTGCCAGCTGCCACGGAGAAGTAAACACATGAAATCACCAGATGTTGCACATTTGTCGTGTTTTAAGGAAGAGATATCCTCATCCATTGATGCCTCAGTAAAGCAAAACCTTATTTATCATATTTTTCAGTAAACAATGGGATGAGATACTGACAATTTCCACCGTCTTAGAACCAGACTGTTAACAGTTAGGATGTCTGTCCCAGTAAATTCCATGATCTCCTATCACCAACTGAGAAAAAATGTGAACCTTTTAAAAGTTTTTCTGCCAATTGTGACAAATTAAGAATTTAAGAATTTGTTTTATTATATTAATGTTTCCATTATAATTTGCAAGGACTTCAGACTGATATTATTACCTACCAGTCAGAGTACACTGAATTAAGTACCGAGATTTTCAAGCCCTTGCTATGACTCTTAAGTAGCTCTAGTGTGAAGTGGGGCTAATCCATTACACATATAGTGGTTTTTCCACCCATAATCAGCCTAATTTGTTGCACTGGGGAAAAACTTCAAATTTTATACAGTATAAGCATTTTAGAGCCAGCTGACTCCCAAATAATCATGGGGACTGTCAACCAAAAAATAATGGACAATAAATGCAAATCGAAGAGATCTGTAAAAATTCTCACTTTTTTCCTACTTTGCCTTAAAAATAAGCATTTTTACACTGATCTGTACCATATTGCACATTCATGAGAAAATCCTTTGATCTGAACAATTGCGGATCACAATGGAATGTGGTAATCAACTTACTGAAAGTTATATATATATGTAATCTGAAATCAGTCTAATTAAAGGAGTATCACTAAACCCAGACTTAGGACACAATATGGTATTTTATACTGATGTCCAGCTTAGTTATTATTATGTGCCATCAAGTCAATTCCAATCTATGACAACCCTAATAGGGTTTTTGAGACATATCAGATGCTTAGTATTGTCATTCCGTCCATGTTTCAGCAAGGATTTGAACACAGATCTTCTGAGTCTTTAACCAACTCTTGTTCACTACATCACACTGTCTCTCCCTTGGCTTATTAGTTGAATTAAATCAAGATGGACAAAGAGCAGCCCTCAAGATAATAATGGGCTGCAATTCTTAGCGTTCCTCACTACTGACAGGCCATCAGATAAATATGGCATGACATTTCTTTTCTGCATGTTATAAAACTTAAATATAGGAATGTAAGAGTGCCCACAGCACTAAAGCTTCATAACAGACAAAACCAAGGCAAATCCAAGTGAATCAAACTTCCTGTTAACCACTAGAAACCTAGTACCAGGCAAAAATCACATTTTGCAGTTTGTTTTGAGAAAAGAGCAGGGATAGGGGCTTCTCCTATCACCAGGTCACCAAAAAGGAAGTGAACCAAGCTGGAACAAACAATGCTTTTGGAAAAGCTTTCATTTGGAAAAGTCTAACAATTGGATTTAGCCCAATATCTTTAGAGGAGCACAAGAAATGTTACAGATGTTTAAACCAGAAAGCAGAAATGTTCCAAAGTAACATTTGCCATTACAAAAGCCATTTAAGTCTCATAGGCAAGTCAGCCAGTATAGCTTATTTTACAAACCCAAACAAGCAGGATGCTACAGTAGGTTGATAATGCGTGCTTAGTTTCCTGACAGCTGTGTGAATGATAAGAGTGTTTGTCAGAGATCCAGTAAAATGGAAACCTCTGCTTACCTGCTGTTGCTTGTCCCAGAGGCTTTGCAATGTCACATTTTCTACACATTCCTTTGTACAAAGTTTTGATTCAAACACTTCTTGGATCCTGCTGATCAGGTACAGATGGTGGTCATTATCCATAGCATAGAAATGGTTGAAATCAAGGAAGATGACTTCAGTAGGATGATGTGTTAGGAAGCTGTTAATCTCCATCAGCCCATCCCATACTTTGATTCCAAACAAACCATGAATGAAGTAGATTTCCTGTCCTGCTTCACCTGGTTTGGAAGATACGCGGAGGTCAAAGTAACGGATTCCACCATCGAGCTGTTCCTTAAATGTCAGATTTTGTGTCACTGACCACTTCTTCATTATCTTCTTTACCAGTGAAATTTTAGCTAACCGTTTGATCGCTGTAGCTTGATCAGGTCCCACAGGAGATTTCTCATCAACCCAGTAGCTAAAGGAGTCATGTGATCCTATAGAAAAGACAGATACCATTTTACTCTTAATCTTTGAATATGGCATATATTCTTTTCAAGACAGTATCCTCAAGAAATCTGGATGCCACTCTGGTTGCAGATATCTCAGTGGCTTATGTCTTTGGCTGCAAAGTTAGAGTTTGGGAGTTCAGTTCTCCACTGTGCCCCCACGAGAGGGGCTGGATTCCTTCCAGCTCTGCAGTTCAAAGGCAAAAGTTAATTACAACAAATTATTTCACATAGTTGCACATGTGATTACCAGCATGGGGGCAGAAAGCTTAGCATGAATTTGATGGAGGAACCACTGCCCTATAGCACCCCGAGAAAAAGGGCACGGCAAACCACTTCTGAGTATTGTCTGCCTAGAAAACCCTGGAAATGATAGTCATGTCAGAATGGACTTGATGGCACAGAATTAATCAATAGTTATTAATCATAAGTAGCTGGTGGCTTCATATTTGTAACTGTGGAGCCTTCCTCCACTTTTTGATTGATATTATTTATATAATAATATATATAAACAGAAAAACAGCAGAGAAAACTATAAAAAAGTTTTAAAATACTAAATAAATATAATATTAAAAACAAATAAACCTACATGAAGATTAAAAAGCAAGACAGAAACAATTTTAAAATATTAAACTTGATGCACAAACTCTCTTTGGCTGTAATTAAGGAAAACTACAAAAACAGCAAGCAATCCGAAGCTATATTCGTAGTTTGAAAATAAATAAAATTTAACAATAAGCCAGAAAAAGTAACTGATGGTGGAGATTATAGTTTGGAAAAAATCTCCTTTTTGGAGTATAACTTCCAGTCTTCTCCACCACCCCCCACTATAATTCCCATGATAGGGCAGCCTAATAAATGTGGTCCCCCAAAGTAACTTCACATTTTGGATACAAGTGATTCATAATTATTAGCAGCTAGAGGCATCATCTTGCATGACACAGAAGAGAGGTTTTGACAGTGTGCATGAATCCGCAGTTAGTTGTGGGTTCTTTTCTTTTCTCTTATAATCAGTCTGTGTGGAGGCATTTCCTTACATTTCTGGAATCCAGGCTGCAAACAATTAGGATGTCAAAAGCAGCAATATTTCACCCCTTGTATTTTTCTCTCTCTTGCCATCTTCTGCTTTGAGATGCTTGAAATGAGCAAATTTACTATGTATGTCATTTGCTCAGGTGAGTAACTGAACAACTACTGTGTGATTTTCAGAAAGCCAGCACGTGTGTGCAAGAAAAGCACATTTCAGTTTGCCACTCCTAGCATCCCCCTCCCCAATGCAGGATGTATGACCTTCATCTTTCTCTATCAAGATACTCCTTCTCTTGACTTTGACATTCTAGTGCCCGATATTTGCTAGCTGCTGAAAGCAATTAACTCAAATGTGTTTTTTTTCATGCAAAGAATCACTTCCAGTTTATCCTAATACAAAGAATTATTTCCCAGGTATTTGCTCCATCTGTATATTTTACAAAACACTAATAAGTTTCCACTTCTACAGATACAGATCCACTGCTGCTTTAATCTGTCTCTGAGAAGACTTCATTGTATGTGTCCCGTGGGATTTTGTTAGGCTAGACAAATGCATCCTACGTGCCTCACTGCTCAAAAGATTTTGACTGTTACTTCTGAATGTGAACCTTGGCCAATCCTTATACACAAAAGACTCTGTACTTCTGTCTGCAAAGAAGCCCAAGATGTAGATTAGTAATAATGGTGTGCTGTCAAGTTGATTCTAAATTATAGTAATCCTTTCCGGGGTTTTCTAGGTATGGAGTCCTCAGGATTACCTGGTTTACCATTTTCTCCTTCTCAGGATGTTCTGGGACTGTGCAATTTGTCCAAGGTGATATATGTAGTCTTGTCCTTTTAATGCATTTAACAATAGCTGTTACTTTTAATGTTTTAAGAGTTGTCCTCTGCTGGTAGCATTTTTATTTTTCTTTAAAAGCAAAATGCCATTGTATTTGGTGTTTAGGGATTGGCTTTGTCTATAGCACTAACCACTGATTAGAAAAACAGTCATTTCCATTTAGTGAGTAAAACTGCCACTTAATGAAGAAGGAGTTAGCTGAGTAAAGGAATGTACTGTACTGATCCTTATTTATTTTTTCCAGTTGGGACTAGCTATAATCTATTTCCCTTTTTTGTTGTTGTTGTTGGTAATTACTTCATGTCTGCTCACATGCATACACTATGAAACAACACGTTTCTTCCATGCCCTGTTGGTGCTGTAAATGAGATTAAGATATTAAAGGCATTACCTAGCTAGGGGGCACTGAATCCACCTGGATGCTCACACTCTGCACAAATCAAGTATCAATGTGCCACCTTTCACAAATGGCAACAGCAATCAGCATCATGAGAGATAATGCTCTCCCTTTCTGCTGTACCAACAAAATCCTTGATTTCAACCCATCTCAAGGTACTTCACATTTTGATCCTCAGAAAACTGGAAGGAAGGTAAGTATTTTTTAGAGGCAAGAGCTTTTTCAGCCTGAAGCCAGAAGAGGTAAACAAAGATTTTGCCTTCTGTCATACTGAATGTAAGTGACAGTGAGCTGGCATGAAACCATGTGAAAAGAAAAAGCCCAGAAATGGGTTAGTCATACTCTGATCATTCAGGATGAGCTAAGCCAGCTGTGGCTTGCAAAGAGTACAAATAAAATTCTCATGTGAATTAAGAAATGCATCAACATCTAGAAAGCTATTAAGGGGAACTGTGAGCTGGGAATGCAATATGGTACACATGGTAACCAATTTGTACAGCACTTAACATATCACTCTTATGCCACTGGATGGGACTTGAAGATACCTTTGAAAATTTACTGGTTTGCAGTACATCTTCCCAAATCTCCAAAGGCTATGCTGGATGGGGAACTGTGAACATGAAGTGTGAATTTTCCAGGCTGTGGACTGAACAGAGATAGTCTAGTGCAGTGGTTCCCAACCTTGGGCCTCCAGACATTCTTGGACTTCAACTCCCAGAAATCCTGGCCAGCAGAGGTGGTGGTGAAGGCTTCTGGGAGCTGTAGTCTAAGAACATCTGGAGGGCTAAGGCTGGACACCACTGGTCTAGTGCATATCCTTCCCTAGAGCAGAATTACTAAATTCCCTGTACATTCTTGGAAAAGTTCCATACTAGCCTTTCCTTCAAAGCTTTCAGGAGATGATGTACCCAAGAAGACTCACATCTTCCTGTTAATTACAATTCTTTGGCTACAATTCTATTACTGTTTGCATAACTTCCTGTGGCTGAATGCAACTAATTGATGAAGTGACAGAACACACTCTGGTTGTGCAACTGAATGTATAGCAGGCATGTGCCTGAAATATGGCCCAGCATCTTATTAATTCACTACAATTAGCTGCAGAAAGTTATGCAAGTCTTACACGAACACCAGTAGGTTTCTGGCTTTTGGGTATCCATTTGTAATCCATTTTACACATAAAATAACACTTCTGGGGTTCTGTTTTTCAAATTAATTCACAGAAAGTGCTACAGTGCTATATTAGGTTCATGACTGTGAATTTCGTTGTATGGGTATACTGTGTATATACTTAAAATGACAATAAATTATTATTATTATGATATTACATGATATACATTATTACAATATGAATTGCTGGTTGGCTCAGTGGTTTAGGTCTCTGGCTGTGGAGCCAGATGCTGGGAGTTCAGTATCCCACTGTGCATCCTTGACAGGGGCTGGACTTGATGATTCATAGGATCCCTTCCAGCTCTGCAATTCTAAGGTGATGATGACTGACAAACTTGTACAGTAATTTAAAAACTTGTCAGAATAGGAATCAAGTTAGTAGGAATGCAATTTTATAGGTGTTTCTGTAATTTCTCTTAGCAGGCGCTCATTTTACCAGCAAGGTAGGACCACGGGCACCATTTTGAACTCTTATATAATCATAGATTGTACAGTATAAGTGAACTGAAAGGGGCGTACAAGGGGAAGTTTTTCCCGATAGTCAACTGAAATCTGGCTTCCTTTAACTTGACACCATTGTTGCGTGTCCTGCACTCTGGGATGATCGAGAACAGATCTTGCCTCTCCTCTGTATGACAACTTTTCAAATATTTGAAAACTGCTATCATATTACCCCTCAGTCTTCTTTTCTCAAGGCTAAACATGCCCAATTATTTCAGCCTTTCCTCGTAAGGCATGGTTTCCAGCCCCCTGATCATCCTTGTCGCTCTCCTCTGAACTTGTTCCAATTTGTTAGCATCCTTCTTGAAGTCTGGTGTCCAGAACTGGACACAATACTCAAGGTGAGGCCTAACCAATGCTGAATACAGGGGGACTAGCACCTTGTGGGATTTGGAAACTATATTATTAATGCAGTCTAAAACAGCATTTTAGCCACATCACACTGTTGGCTCATATTTAGCTTGTGATCTACAACAATTCCAAGATCCTTCTCGCTTGTAGTTTTGCTGAGCCAGGTATCCCCCATCTTGTAATTGTGCAATTGGTTTCTTTTTCCAAGGTGCAGTACTTTGCATTTATCCCTGTTGAACTTCATTCTGTTGCTTTCGGCCCAGTGCTCCATCCTATCAAGGTCATTTTCAATTTTGTTTGTGGCTTCTAGGTTATTAACTATTCCACCCAATTTAGTATTATCTGCAAATATGACAAGCATTCCCTGCACTCCCTCATCCAAGTCATTAATAAAAAATATTGAAGAGCACCAGGCCCAGGACTGAGCCTTGGGGTACCCCACTAGTTACCTCCTCCCAGTTAGAGGACACATTAATGATCACCCTCTGGGTACGATTCTGTAGCCAATTGTGCATCCACCCAACACTTCATCTATCCAGCCCACACCTAATTAGCTTGCTAATCAGGATATCATGGGGCACTTTCATCTCTATTACATGTTTGGAAGAAATGCCAAAGGACGCATCAAAGCTATATTAAGCTTTTCTCTCCAAGATCCTGTTAATTTTATCATTAAGACAGGATTTGCTTGAATAGGCT